CCTAGAACAGAAGACCTCCTAGGATGAAGGATTTCCAGGGCCAACTGGAATGAGTTGGTCCCCGACCTATCAGGACCATAGAAGAAAAAAGGGATGCTTTGACCTAAGCTGTTGTTTGAACTGGAAAACAAACAGGTAAGGCTTGTTTGCAAGCTTAAATCAATGAGTCCCACCCTTTTGTTTTATAGAGACAGAAACAGGCCCAGAGAGGTTTGTTGATTTGACTCCATTACACAGCTACTTGGAGTCCTGTGTGGCACTTTAGGATAAGCAATGGATTGCTAACCATAAGGCTGGCAGTTCAAACCCACCAGCTGTTCCTCAGAAGCCCTATACAGGGTCAGTACGAGTCAGGAATGACTTGATGGCACTTAACAACAACAACACACAGTTACTTGGGTCACAGACTGGCCTCTGACTCTGCCTTCACCAGCCTACATTGTTTTGTCCTGACACATTCCTCTTTATTTGGCAAAGACAGCATGTTTATTCATAAATTGGCTTGTCTGGAGCCTCATGTTTGGCATAGTTGATTTTGACTATGAGGAGTTCAAAGTTTTCCTCTCTTTGTTTTGGTTTGCTTCCTCATGGTTTGTGAGTAAAATTTGCAAAGTAATAAAAACACAACGAGGCTGCGAAAGTTGTTCTAATGAGATGCACCCAGAAATCGGACAACATCAATTTACTCAGATTTATTTTGTGTTTTCTAGATAGTAGATTAAAAATCCATGAGGTTTACTTCCCGGGGATTTACAAACCCAAACAAGCAAACAGCTGAGGTCCTTTTCCAGGCTGTTTCTGGTGGAGGTGGATGGGGCAGGTAGTTGGGAAAAGCGCTCCCAAGGGCTGGATTGCTGGAGGCTGTTCCTAGTCTCCTGGGGACAGGTACTTAAGAGAGGCTGTCAGAGATGATCCGTAATCAGGACTAAGGTATGTGAAGCGATTTGCAGAAGGTCATCCCAATTCTTTACACTTTATTTTGCATACAGCAGAAGTCAAAAAGGAAAGCTTCCTTTTATTATTAACACAGAGAGTCCACTCTTAATATGTAAATACACTGCATTTAGGACAGCTAGTGTGCCCTCAGAGAGCACCAGTGATGCAATGGTTAAGCGCTTGGCAGCTAACTGAAAGGTTGGTGGTTTGAATCCACTCAGCATCTCTGCAGTAGATAGCGCGGGCAATCTGCCCCTGTAAAGATTACAGCCTAAAAAGCCTGAGAGGGCAGTTGTACTCAGTCACGTGGGGTTGAAAATCAACTCGATGGCTCCTAACAATCGAGGGCCCTCAGTCCCCTGATCCTTCTAATTGTCCTGTAAGCTCAGGTCGGTTTTTGGTGAGAGAGAGGTTGCATTTTGACTGTGACCCTGACTCTGGTGTCTCAGGGCCATGGCATCTGGGTACCACCCTTGGTCAGTCTGCTAAACAAGTCTGCTTCTCCCATGCTCTGTTTCAGGGCCTGGAGATGAGAGCCTTAACCCTGCTCACAACCAAAGATGAACCATCAGCTCAAGTGGTGAGCACTTTGCTTTACAAATGGTGTGGTTGGCTGGCAGCTACTACCCGTGTCTTAATTTAATAGACCAAGTTACAGGCTGAATATAGGTACAGCTTTGTCCAATGTTTTTAGCTATACAACGCACAGGTGTGTGGGGGACACATTGCACAAGACAACCCCTGGGAAAACAAATGCAAAAAATGGTTTTAATAGGTTCAGCTAAGAGTGACCAAAGGGCATTTTTGACTTCAGGTTCCAGGTTGAGACCTGATGTAGCCTGAGTCCTCCTACCTGCTGGGGTAATCCAGTGATGACTAATTACAGCCCAAGGAAGGTGGCCAGTCGGCCAAGCTGGAAAGCCCAAAAGCTCTACCTGGGGCACTCTCAGAAGCTGGGATTGACGACCAGACTCACCCTCACTCCAATGGACAGGTCCACAAATTCAGAAGTAGCCAATTGAAGAATGAATAGTGTTTGTAGCCTTATCCTTTGATAAGTACCCCTCTGGTATTTGGCTTTGGCATTCCTCTTCTCGTTCTCATTTTTCTATTGGCTCTCTTGAGCTCTGGTACAAAACAGAACTTTCCCAAGACTTTTAATCTCTCTGCACAACAGGAAAACCCCGCACAGCCTTATTTCACAGTGTTGAATCTTCCTGTCTCAGTGATGAACTTCATGAGAGCCCCCATACCTTCCCACCCAATAAAGTCACTGTGAGGGTATCTGTGAGACATCATGTGGGGAAGCTGCCAGCCACCCACCTGCTTTCCTGTGGAATAGGACATGCCTGTGGTGCGAAGAGGCCTGGAAGTATGGAAACCCTCTATGGTGGACCATCCATAGAAGGTGAAGTATTACGTTGTCATGCTAGACTGTCAGCCAACCTGTCAGATACAAGACCCCTGTATCTTCAACTGGTCACGCTCTCTAGAAACAAGTCACTCTTTATAGCTACTCAGTTCATCTGCTATAAACCTTAAAGTAAAAGGGTAAAACTCTTAGGTCTGTCTCAGAAACATGTATCTCCTCAGAGATACTGAGGACAATCAGGGACCAACATTAACGTTCTGTCTGGTTCTACTTCTTGTGTCTAAGTGTTTTGGCTAGAGAAATCCAGAGACTTTTAAAGTCCAGAGGCCTCACTTAGTGATACATCTTTAGCTCTTTTTGTTGTAAACAAACTAGGCTGTCTTCTGCCAAAAGCTCCTGAGTCTCTGGCCACTTGCAGCACAGAGCTCAGCCAGGCTTGCTCTAGCCAGAACCAGAGGCACCGAGCACTTTCCTTCTCCACGGGCACTGGGCACTGGGTACTGGACTTTGGCTGAGGCCTTGCTGCATCACCACCCCTTTCAACATTGTCTGTGTTATTTCCCTTCAGGATTGAGAGTGGTTGGCTGAGCTCCGCTTGGAAATTGGGAGAGGAACAAATGGGAGCCACACATTGCACTGAGCTACAACAGGAACTGGTCCATTGGCCATTTTAGACGCATAAGGGTCACAGATGCCTCACTGATTGGACTTGTGCAAAAATCACGCTCCGGCCTGGCGTGCTGGGAGTCTAGATCACTTTCCACACTGACTGGGTTTCTCTCCCTGAGAGGGCTCCATTACAGACCCATAGTCCTTCAGAAGCTGGAAAAGATTCCTATTCTCTTGGGCCTTGTCTTTTTCTGCTTCCCAGTCCCCCTCCCTTCCTGGACACTCCCTCCTCCAGTCCATGAAGCATCTACATGTGCGATCCAGCACCTTTTCTTCTCTGTCATTAGCATCCTTTCTGAGGAGGTGTCTGATTATTTGCAGACTCCCTACCCAGATTTGGGGATGCCCTGTGCTTAAACTAACGAGTTTCTTTTGCAGTGTCCCTCACGACATGCATATAAACAAGGTATGATTAAGTGGAATGGGATCTGACATTTAGTTGCTGCTGATATTTATTACTTTGAATGAGAATGAGCTGTGTTGTTGTTGTTAAGTGCCATCAAGTCAGTTCTGACTCATAGAGACCCTGTATAGAGTTTCTGAGGCTGTAAATCCGTGGGAGTAGAAAGCTTCATCTTTCTCCCTCAGAGTGGCTGGTGAGCTCAAACTGCCGACCTGTGAGAATAAGCTACAGATTTCCATTTTAAAGGCTCTTCAGAAGCAGCCCCAGTTTCTCACTGGGACAGAACTCCCTTAAAACCAGGTTAAATTTTAGAGTCCAAATGCCCTGCACCAAAAGCTTCTTTGCAGAGCTAGGGTATGGAAGCCACTTTCCAGATGGAAGTCTTGTACAGGAAGTCCCTTCTGGCAGACCCAGAGATTTCCCACTATGTGACATTCCCTCATTGGCTTCTTCTGTCCCAACCACTCTGGGGACTTTGCTTCTTAACCAAATCTACCTGAAGTTCCCTGGTTGGAATGTCTCAAAAAACCATCTAGTCACCCTATTTTTCTTTAAGTCCAATAAAAATCCAGCTCAGAAGAGGAAAAACATGAACTAGGCATGCCCTGTTTTTGGAGTCCCTGGGTGGTGCAAAAACCTGCCCAGAGGCACCTGGGTAGAAGGCTCCACTTCTGAAGAACGGGCCATTGAAAACCTATGGGACACAGTTCTCCTCTGACACACATGGGGTTGTTAAGTGAAAGTTGAATCCACAGCCATTGGTTTGTTTTGGGATTTTGGTTTTCCTCTCTGAAGCTGACAGTAGAACAGGTACCAAATGTGACACTGGAAAAAAGAACCTCACACCATCCAACGTCGGCTAATCTCCGGGGCCGGGCACAGCACGACTTGCAGGTTGAAGGCTGGGCTGTAGGCTGGGGTGACGTCCTTGATGCTGGCTGCACACATGTGGGAAGCAGAAGTACTGATTATCAGCAGGAAGGGCAAGGTTATGGAGCAAAGCCTTAACAATGCAATTTTCCTCACAAGTTCTTTTCTCCACTCTCTTTTGACGTTTCTTCTGGCGATGACATGCCGCAAGGCTGAGAGTAGCTGTACTTGAGGTTTAGCAGACAGAGAACTCCTTCAGATTTTCAGAGCCACAAAAACTGGAGTTAAATGTGCCAAATCAATAGCCATGAGGACCAGATCCCTTGTGGACTCTGGAATGCAGAAGCCCCAATCTGGATTTTAAATATTATCTGCCCTAAGGAGGGGCTTTGGGTGGCTGGAAGCAGGGTGTTGGATATCTCCAGGTAGGAGGGGACCTCTTGGACAGCTACTTAATACACCACTGACAGACCCAGTGCTGGGAGATTCCTTGCATCAAAAGATGATAAGGTTACATTATTGTTCCTTAAAAAATTCAATGTAGTTGCTTTTCACCCTCCTGCTTCAAGACCCGGGGTGTGGTGAATAAATTGTAACTTTGGCTCCACGCACTGCTGTCTCTAAGCTTCTCAGCCCAGAGTATGCTCAGAGAAGGCCAAGAAAAGTCACTTCTCTGTTTTGATTGGGCTCGTCTTTTTTGGGGGTCCCCAGGTCTTTTTGCCTACCCTTCAAATGGACACCAGGCAGTGCTCAGCACTGCTCGGCCTCCACGAAGCCCTCCTTCTCGTGGCCCGAGGGCTCGACTTCCGTGTAGGTGGAGTGATTGGGGTGGTTTCGGAACTTCATGGCTGGCCAGTGATGAGGTCTCCGCTGTGGAGGGCACAGATGCAAAATCAGCGGTGTGGCACTACCCACTGGAGACCCCACCCCTGGAGGACAGTGCACGACACCAAGACTCTTTCACCAAAACTCTGGAAGGCTGGGAGCCTACTGGGAGACAGGTAAAGGTCAGGCCACTCTTGGCCCAAAAGACTCCCTGCTGTGACTTCTCAAGCCCCAAGAAACCTGCTGAGAGTGGGTGGGGTTTGAAAAGAGGTCATTTTTGCTGCTGTATGCAGAACATACAGAAACCTGCTGAGTGGAGACTCAAGACAGTGGCAAGGTAGGAGACAGCTGGAATGATCTAGAAGGGCATGGCTATGCCAAGACAATCCTCCAGATGATATAAGCCCTGCACCAGAGTCAGTTAGAATGCAGATTCCTGGGTCTGCTCATGACTTGCCCCATCAGAATCTTTGTGGCCCCGGAATCTGCAGTTCCCTAGATGGTGCCGAGGAAGGCTAAGACTTAAGAAGACCTGGCTGGGAATCAGCATCAAGAGAAGAATGGTTAAACAAACTTTGCTACATATATACATACATACAAAACAGTGAAGAATAGTGATGAATCTGTGAAACGCCTCACAACATGGTTGAACCTGGAGGACATTATGCTGAGTGAAATTAATCAATCATAATAGGACAAATGGAAGAAAAAAAAATTTTTTTTAAGTTTTCCTGATAAAAGTAACAATCTATGATGGTTACGGGGTGGGGGAGGGAATTATTCACCAACTAGAGGGTAGACACATGGTAACATAGATGGTGGGGCAGGCAATATACACCAAGGGAGGTGACAGAGGAAAGATGAAGGTAGTGGGAGACACAGGGAGGAATGCAATAGTTAAAGTGAACAGAGGTAAATCCTGTAAGTATTGGTTGGTACATGGAGGGGATTGCAGCCATGTAATGAAGCAAAGTATATGATTTCTTGAATATAAAACTGGTGATCTGCTCTTTTAAACCTTCACTCAATTCCCAATGAAAAGTTGGGAAAAATAGAAAGAAAATATGGGGGTCACCTAAGCAAAGGGGAGGAAAGCAACTAGGCCTCTGAGTCTCATGGACAGTCTCTGCCCATGAACCGAGCGAAGGGGACCATGGGAGGCACCACAGCTGTGTCATGCAGAGAGCTGGGAAGAAGCCAAGCATGGACATCTGGGAGCCGCTGAGCAGCAGGGCCACAGTGAAGGGGACTGCATCCTCTTCCCATGCTACACCTCAGGCTGGTTCTTCAGAATTCTGAGGCATTCAAAAACCTGTAGCCTTCTCAGTTAAAGCTCCCAAAGAATTCACCTCTTATTACAATTATGGCTGGTCAATTTGTATCTGAAAAAGCTATACAGCAGGCAAAAGGGCAGAGCTGTCCCTACCACCATCATGGCTTTGAATAAGTACTGAACCTGGAATTTGAGCATGAGAGACCAGAAACTATTAGACCTGGCTGCACAGCCACTGAATGTGGTCACTGTGTGGTACATCTGGCCTTCTTTCTTTCCTCTGTGGATATTTCTGTTTTCAGACATGCGGGAGAAAAAGCAGATGGGCTGTTTAATGGACAAGCATGCTGAGGTGCTGACATGAGGCTAACTTGACTAATAGGGCAGCTGTCAGTCTGAGGTGTGCCAGGGTAAAGTTGGTACAGGTTTCTCAGGTAGGAAGACGGTATGTGTGGGATGAGATGGGGAGAGGCAGGTACTAAATGGCCCTGGGCACGCGGATGCAGAAAAAGATGGAGGACATGTGGTCAAATTCCATACTGACCTCAATGAAGAAGAGTGCAGCATTGGAAGTGGGGTGGCCGTTGATGTAAATCCCAGCCAGGATAATGGCCGCCACAAGAAGGACTGCCAACACGATGCCCACGATGGTGCCCAGGTGTACTGGGGGACCCTTTGTCTTAGGAGACAGGTTGTTCTGAAGGCCTGTGGAGAGATCATTAGGGTAAGGAGCAAGGATGGTTGGGGCATGGCTGGGCCAGGAGTCTTGGGCTCTGACAGAGTCCCAGAGATGAAAGCTGACAGGACCTTTTGGATCCAGTTTTCAGATACATGCAAAGGCAGGGCAGAAGTTGGTAGCATGATTACGAGTACAACATAACATTATTCTTGGCACTGTTCAGGTGGTTTTCCAAAATAAAAGTTGCCCAAATGTTTATTTAGTATCACGGTAGGAGAAGTGCTCTCTGATACCTATGCCTCATAAGTGCTCTCAAGGAATTCACAAAGAATGTGATGGTTAAGAGCTTGGGATCTGGAGTCTGGCTGCCTGGGTTCGAGACCAGGCTCTGTCACTCACTAGCTGCGTGACCTTGGGAAAATTATTTAAGCTCTGTTCTCAGCTATCCCTCTATAAAGCAAGGATACTAGCAGTAACTACTGCATAGGGTTATTTGGGGATTAAGATGGGATAAGTCATGTCGAGCGCTTGGCATCAGAAAGATCTCCACAAGAGTTAGATACTATGATATCCAAATGGTCATATTGTTACTTGTCACTGTCCATCACCACCAGACTGTGACTTCTATCAGACAGGGACAGTGTCCTATTCATCTCTGTATTCTTGGACCTTAGTAACAATGGCAGACCCACTGCAGATGCTCCATAAAACCCCGTGGAATGAGTTAGCTTCTCTGGAAGCTAATAAACCAGCAGGCACTCTCTGAGAACATCCCAAGTGTTGAAATATAACCCAAAGAAGAGGCTTAGTACTTTCCGTAGACTGGATGGAAACCCGGAAACTCATCTAGTCCAATTCCTTTCTTGCATCGGTGAAGTCATGCAAATACAGAGGTGAAACGACTTGCCCAAGGATACACAAATATAGTGCCAACCACTAAGAAGCCTAGTTTCTGGACATTGCCTGGGGTGGTTATTTATTTTTTTTACTCTATCCTAAAGGAATATGGAGGAATGAGATGGAGAAGATAGTACAGCATGCATACAACAGAAACACAGGAATCCTTTTTATATAGCTAAGGGATGGATGGAAGACAACTGGGGGTAAGGATTTGTAATAGAATGTCACATGCATTCAAAATCATCGTCTTCAAACCCCCTTTTTTCTGCTCAGCACTCTGTAAGCAGGAAAAAAAAAACCAACAGGAGAAAACCTATCCTCAGGCACCCCAATGCTTCATTATTGTCTGTCTGCCAACCAGTGGGAGAGTTGAGGTGTCACATGCCAGACTTCTCCAACATGGTTAGCCCTGAGCTTACATTGACCCTGGTGACTTGATGATCAAGGCTGCCATGGGTGAGCACATAGTGTAGAGGCAGGAGAACGTGGCCCAGCAACTCCCCCAACCTCCACTCACACCCACTGTCTGCAAGGAGCCAAGGCTCTATTTTGGTTGGAGAATCAATCAACTGACTTTATTAATAACCTTTCTTCTCCATGGGACTCTTATATAACCATCCCCAGAACTTGGAAGTGAAAGTTATTTCCATCTCCACTCTATGTTACTTCCACTCCATTTCCAGCTCTACTCCATTCACTCAACTCAGAGGTTGCAGCAAGGGTCTGAATTGGCGCTGAACAAAGGGAGAGTGGCACTGTCTCATGTCATCAGAGAAGAGATCATCTGAGGTGGGAGTATCCTACAACTTGGTGCTTTGCAAACCCTAATGGTGTACAACTTTTGCACACTCTCTGTCCACCCAGGTTGGGAATGAAAAGAAGCTTAATATGAAGAGACACTGTTCTCTATACCCTCATTGACTGTAAGGTTCATGGGGTTGAAAGGCCACATGCTCCACACTAACACACACACTCTGGCTCTGTCCTTTCCTCCTCCCCCATCTCACTCTGGGCAATGAATGTTCAAGGGCAGGTGTGGGAAACGAACCACAAGAAGTTCTTGGTTGAGATGAGAAATCTCAGCGAAATATTCCTTCAATCTAGGAGCCTGGACCCAGAACCCCAAGGTCTTTGATGCTCAGGCTGCTGAAGCTCCCTTCCCTTCCCGACTTGGAAAAAAAGTAAAGAGATCAGGTGACTCTTCCACCCTTCTCTGGAGTGGGTCTAAGAGGCAATGGGTCTTGTCAAGAGGTACAGGTTGTTCTGTACTCACCATCTCCTCCTGCGTAGGGATTCAACTTGGTGTCATCTCAAAGAGAGAGGAGAGAAGGAGCAAGATTAATGGAGTCATTCTGACCTTTGTGACCTGTGACTAGATGAAACCTTAGGAAGGTTCAGTCCAACTTTCATTTTTGAGGTAAAGAAACTGAAGCACAGAGAGGGGAGATGATTTGTTCAAAATCACCCAATAGGTTAATGGTAGCTGGCCACTAACAAGCCAACTTTTCCCAGTCTCATGTTCATCCATTCCACAAACATTTATTGAACATTTACTATAAGCTGGGCACTGGGGGCACGTGCTAGAGATAAATCAGGTAATAGAGATATCCCCTTGTCCTCTGGGAGTTCATAGGTATAGGGCATGGGGAAGGCAATTAAAACCCAGTGTGATGAAGCTTTGTTTAGGGTGACTCACCCATACCAAAGAGTTAAAGGTTTCCTTGGGTAAGTGATACTTCAGCTAAGAAGGAGAATGGGGTAGGCTCTGGAAAAACATTTCCAGATAGAGGGAAGAGGACAGGCAAAGGCCCAGAGTCAGAGAGAACTTAGCTAGTTGAGAAATAAAATGCAGTTTAGTGTAGCTGCGGGCAGAAAGAACATGAGTAGGGGTTGATGAGAGGGAGGTTGAGGGGATAGTGGGGTGGTGGAGGTTTGGAAAGCCAAGCTGAGGGACTGGCAGATTCTCCTAAGGACAACAGGAAGTTGAGGAAAGCTTCGTGGAGGGGTGCGTGTGTCAAGATCATATTTGCAGGGTGACCTCTTCTGGGCTGTATTGTACAGGACAGATTTCTAGGCCAACGCACTCCACACCTCAAGGTATAAATTCCACAGCTTTCTAAATAAATTCCAATAGTTGACCCTGTGATTTCCCCCACACACCCCCACCTCCACAGACTCATAGGGGAAAGGAAAGGAAGAGATGACTGAAAATTATTGCTTTCAACACCAAAAGTTTAAATAAATCTAGCCATTTCACAATTCATGCATTTTGCTCCTCATCCCACTCCAGCATCCATGTCATTTTAAAGACTTTTACTAATTCCCCTTCATTCATGAACTTCACAGGTATTCAAAGCACTTCACAATTTCTCTCCAGTCTTCTTTTCTCCTGTCATCTGCCACAAGCTGTTGAGGCTCTGAAGACCCCCTGTCCTTTCTTCGTCTTTGGACCACGGTATATACTGTTCCTCCTAGAGGGGAGCACACTTCCTCCCAGTCACTATTCCTCTTTCAAAACTCCCACCTCTGAAATGCCTCTCAAGGGCCAGTATTAGGCAGAAGGGGAGGTAGGGTGGTGCACGAGCAGGGTTGAATCCTGTTTTGAATGTGAAATTCTGACATTTTGTTTATTAAAGAATTTTTTGGTATTCATTTGGATTTTTAAAAATATTGCATGAAAAGCACAGAGGAGAGTTTAAGGGGCAGAGAGCCTAAGGGAATGGTGATGGACCCATAAGGGCAGAGATAGAATAGTGACACATGTGACATGTAACTGTTGTTATTGAACTGTTCATGCAGAAATCATGAATGGATGTGTGTTTGGTTGGGTACAGAGTCCTGGTGTGGCACTGTGAGTTAAAGCACTGGACCACAAGGTCGGTTTGAACCACAAGGTTGGTGGTTCAAATTCACCAGCAGCTCCTTGGAAACCCTATACAGGGTCGCTGTGAGTCGGAACCGACTCAATGGCACTTGAAAACAACAAGACTGCCATAAAAAAATTAATATATTTTTAAATTACATTAAAATATTATTTGGCCTTTTTGGGGTCCTCAGGGGGCACTTTCTTAAATTTTGTGCCTGAGGCAAGTACCTCTCCCATCTTAACTAATAGCAGGCTGGGGTCCTGTCACTTTCAGGAAGAGATAGCTGCACACTCCTCTGTATTCCTACACACTCGGTACCTGTGTCTTCTATTCCTGTGCTGCATTGTGACCCCCTTTGTTCTCCTAGAAACTTCTTCCTCAGTGGTAGTCAGGTCCCTCTTGTCTGCTTACTCCCAATCTATTTACACTCAAGGCGTCTGTCCAGCTATCCATCCTCAGTCAATATGGCCATCTATACATACCCACATTAGACAATGGAAGAATTCAGCATAAAAATGTTTTAAAATGGCTCCCTATAGGGAACTATGGGGGTGCTGGGAACTCCCCCATCACAGTCTTGAAGTCCTGGAGTGGCGCTGTGGGTTAATGCACTGAACTGTAAAGTCAGTTTGAACCACAAGGTCAACGGTTCAAGCTCACCAGCTGCTCCTAGGAAATCCTATACAGGGTCACTATGGGTCAGAACTTACTCGATGGCACTTAGCAACAACATAGTGAAGGAGGGAATATAATAGGGTGGAGGAGAGATTTAGAAACTAATCTCTTTTGAATACACCTGGTTTTATAGACTTGCCTTTGGAACCATGTAAATTATTATTTAAAAAAATTAAAAAGCAACCCCCAAAATGTAGACTTTTCATAGACAGGTACATTTCTGTGTGGAATTTCAATAAATAAGGTATTTAAAAAGAGCTCTGAGTCTATGTTGTTACTGCAAATTGAAAACAGTGAATTGAGTAATCAAGCCTGACCAAAGTAATCCTAAACCTTACTATGCAAATGAACTTGGTTCAAATCAACTGATCTGGAATTTAGACCATTGAAATCAATAGCAGCTCACTTCTCACCTACCACTGGCAAACCAAAAGTTACAAGGCTACCAAAAGCCAATCCCTTCTACAAAGCTACACTATGCGTACAGCACCTTTTCTCCTACTCATAAGCGCTGGTTCCCAGCTGCCATCTTGTTGGGGGATCCATGGAATACAAATTGGGCTCACTAATTAAGGGATTGTGGTTTAGCTGCATGGAAACCTATATGTGTAAGGCTTATTGAGTGAATGGTCATTTTTTCTATAGCTAGTCATCACTCCTAGCTGCTGTCAACATGCTATATTCTGCTGGTATAGATGAACCCACAGTTATTCTGCGTAAGTGCCTGTTTCTCCTTGCAGTAAAAGGTTTTGTGACAACTTTTGCCACTCAGAGGTCATTCTGGCTCACTTAAACTAGTAACATTTGATTATAAGTGAACAACTCTTAAAATACAGCTTCCATACCTCTGTGCCCTGGGCCTCTGTCTTGTTTACTTAGAGATGCTATAGCAGAAATATCACAAGGGATGGTTTTAACAACAGAAATTGATTCTTTGATCATTTAGGAAGCTAGAAGTCTGAATTCAGGGCTCCAGTTGTAGGGAAAGTCTTTCTCTCTGTCAGCTCTGGGGGAAGGTCCTTGTCTCCTTTCAACATCTGTGGACCAAGTGTGCCTTGGAGACCTCCTTGGGTCTCAGCATCAGTTATCCCTGGAGTCCAGGAGGTCCTCAGTGCAGAGACCCTGGGTCTAAAGGCCACCATCTGCTCCTGGCTCGTCTTTCTTGGTGGTCAGCTGCCTCTTCTCTGCTCACTTCTCTCTTGTAAGATGAAAGGAAATGCAGGCCACACCTCCAGGGAAATTCCCCTTACATCAATCAGATCAAGGCTGTGATCTGCGAGAGGGTTTACATCCCACCGTAATCCTCTTATTCTTGATTGGCTGATCACATAAGACTACATCATGGGAGATGATTACATCAGTACATAACTGCTAAATCACTGAAAATTATGGTCCAGCCAAGTTGACACATGGTGTGATGCTGCGGGTTAATGTGCTGGATTACAAAGTCGGTTTGAACTGAAAGCTCAGTGGTTCAAACTCACCAGTTGTTCCTCAGAAACCCTACACAGGGTCGCTATGGGTCAGAACAGACTCGGAGGCATTTAGCAACAACAAGAAGTCGATACATATTTTTGGGGTACACAATTCAACTGCTGACAGCCTCTCTGCTTCTCTACCTGGCTGGTGCCAGAGAGGTCCATGCACCCTCTGACAAACTGTTTCCCTTGATTTTGCTTTCCTCTGGCTGGAGCGCTGCATCCCCTTTGTTCCCAACATCAGCCTGATACAGACTGTATTCTACAGCTGCCTCTGTGGCTACAGACAGGAGGATAGCTAAATCCTGTTCTCCCAAGACAATTATAGAGTTGAATGTATGGGTCAAAAACATTACTAAATTTTTTCTCAAAAACATCACTAAGTTTTTTCTCTTATAGACGTAACTGGATAATCTTTGCCACCTCCTCCAGGACAGGAAGGATTGTTGTTGTTGTTGTCAGGTGCCATCGAGTCAATACCAACCCATAGTGACGCTATGTATAACAGCAAACCTCACAATGTTGCTACATTTGAGCCCATCACTGCTGCCCTGTGCCAGCCCAGCTCATTGGGGTCTTCTTTTTTGTTGACCTTCCACTTTACATGATACCTTCTCCAGGGACTAGTCCCTCCTGACAATATGTCTGAAGTATGAGGGACGAAGTCTGGCCATCCTGGCTTCCAGGGAGCATCCTAGCTGTACTTCTTCCAACCCATATCCACTTTTTCTTTTGGCAGTCCACAGTACTTTTAATATTAATTCTCCTTCAACACTATGGTTCAAATGCATCAATTCTTCTACAGTCTTCCTTAATCACTGTCCCACTTTCGCATGCATATGAGGTTATTGAAAACACCCTGGCTTGGGTCAGGCGCACCTTAGTCCTCACACTGACACTTTTTCTCTTCTTAAAGAGGTCTTATGCAGCAGATTTGTCCAATGTAATATGTCCTTTGATTCCTTGACTGCCGATGGTGATGAATCTGAGCAAAATGAAGTCTTGGAAAACTTCAATGTTGTCTCCACTGATATGGATCCAGGGCCATAATTGCCCTCACTTACTCTTATGCGTGTTTTTCTGTTGGGGACTATTGCATAACAAAACCAACATGAGAAAAAAACAAAAAACAAAAAACCAACATGAGACATATTCTTGACTTGGCAGGATATGCACACTGATTATAAAACTGGCAAATAGAGTGCACTATCTCTGTAGGAACAAGCCATCACGGCAGTGACATGAGAGAAATGGAATCAAGGCCACACAGTCTACAGGTAGTAAGTCAGGATCTGAACCTGGCCCTAGATGCTACATCTTGGGCTCTCCACTCCCATCACAGCCACCCTTCTGGCCTCTGACCCTCAGGCTCAACCAGAAGGTAATGTTAATGATGTAAAGACTGGATTCTGACCTTTAGGGATGTCTTCAGCCACCAGCCCAGTGCTGGACACAGAACATGGTAAGCACATTAGTAAACTGTGGAGTGTCTGAGTAGGGCTTTCTTTATCCAGGTGGAGTTTCTTTTGGCTAGAAAGTCATCCCTGGACTTGATCATTAGCTCCCTAGGGCAAGGTCTCCTCTTGCCTACTTGTCCTGTACTCCCTGAACGCCCCACACAGTTTTCAACAACTGTGTCATAACCAGCAACTTCTGAGTGACATGAAGCATTCCAATCTGTCTCAGCGGTTCCTTTTTCTCTACTTTTTCCTGCTCCTGAATGTATCCAGACCTTGTTTCATTTCTTTCAGCACGGAGAAAGGAAGTGAGTTGAGGGAAAGATCTTGGCTTTTTAAAACCAGATGAGACCAGACTCCTCTTTCTGACTGTGTGACCCTAGACATCAACCTCTCTGAGCTGTAGTGTCACCTCTATAAAATGGCAATAAAATAGTATTAAGGTACAGGATTGCCAGGAGAACTAAGTGAGTATTAATGCATATACAACTGTAGCACCCTAGCTGGCACAGAGCTGTTGTTAAGTGCTGTCTAGTGTATAGGGCTTCTGAGGAGCGGCCGGTGGGTTTGAACTGCTGACCTTATGGTTCAAACCGACCTTGTGGTCCAGTGCTTATCCTATAGTGCTACTCGAGGACTCCCCTGGTACAGAGTGAGCATCCCTAATGTTAGTTCTATCCATTGGTCACAGTCTGCAGCTTCCCTCTGGTTCCTCCTCTAGCTCTCTAGTTCCCTTGAGGAAGGCAGAAGGTGCCTTGGAAAGAACATTAAGAACATTTCAACACATATCTCTCATTTGACCCTGAGTAACTTACTTTGTCCCTTATAATCCTGTTTCCTTATCTATAAAATGGAATTGTGGCTGAATAATATTTAAAATGGATCACCTTTTTCCCTTTTCTCCTGTCCTGTTCTGTTCTCATTTGCTCCTTCTAAATAGCACTTAGGTCTGTGCTCACTGCCCAAGATGTCGTGAGAGTCTGTGTGTCTTATAGTCTTAACCTAAGGGAAATGGGCTTTCAAAACTAGATGTGGTGTATCAAAAAAGCCTAAGAAAAAGGAACATCCCAGAAAGAGCCAAGGAATCCTAGGGTGAGGAGAAAGAAAGATGGGAGAGATTTCAAGATCCTAGGACTGAAGGTTTAATTTACACCTGTTACAGTTTTCAACCACTACTCCATGGGAGAAAGATGATGCTTTCTGCTCTTGTAAAGATACAGCCTCAGAAACCCTATACAGGGTGGCTTTGAATAGGAACCAACCCTATGGCACACAACCACCACCAGGACTGGAGGGAGCTGTGTGGGGCTTCCCTGAGATGAGGTGCTGCCTTGGTGTCACCCCCAGGCCAGGAGATGGCAGAGAAGCCCCCGGGGACAGCCAGGTCTGAATCAGCACCAATCCAAAATGGAAGTCGAAGTGACCCTTGGCCTGTACTAAGTCACAAGAGCAGGAAGCTGGCCCCAGAATGAATGCCTGAAGTGGAATTCTCCACTACTCTAGCCGAGAGGCTGAGACACAGGCAGAAATGAGGTGAAGTTATAGAAAAATCAGACAATCTTTTTCTCTCACAGCTGAGTGTGCAGACTGAGTTCATACTGACTGTAGGGTCCGGTGAGGACTACTATTAACATTAACTGAGATAAAACATATATAATACATGTCACTGGGCTGGGACATTCATTTTTCCCTTTGCCTGTCCTTGAGAGTACTCGTACCACCACAGTAAATCCTGCCCCTCTGCCCTGATGTTTAGTTTCCTTTAGAAAGACAGGAGGTGTTCCCTAAAGTTCCCTTTAGAGGACGAGACCACACAGTGGTTAGAGCTTGGGCACAGTGTCCACTCGTTCTACAACCCTGCTTCTCATCAGCTCGGTGGACTGAGCCAAGTGACCTAAGTTCTCTGAACCTCATCCCCTTGTCTGTAAAAGAATAGAGCAATTCCTCCTTCATGAGATAATTCCACGAGAGAATCCCTCCTATTTCCTGAGAGAATTCCTATTCCTGTTCCAGAGAGACTGCTCTTCCCTTTGGCTTCTGTCTCCCCTTCGTCTCACTCCTGTGGTTCAGGGGTTCAGGCCTTACCTTCTGTGGTGAGGCTGTCGATGAAGAGGGAGGAGGAGGCAGTGGTGAGGTCTCCATCAAAGGGGCTGAAAGAACTGTCGGGGAGGGACGAGTAGTGGTCCTGGTCCTGGAAGTCTTCACATGTCCTGCCCTCTGCCTGCAAGAGAGACCACAGTGCTGCTTCCCTGGACAGAAGCCTCAACCGGGAGGATCATGGGATGCTTCAGCCCTCAGCGGTTAGAAAATTGGAGATTCCAGTGCATGGGCCAATCCAACCAGTGCCAAAACTGAGTGCATTTAAGCCTTCCACTTGATTCTGAAAGTGCCTTCTTTTACAATATAATTTATCTGTCAGCTTTGCCTTAAGGAAAGTGCTAAGATGCCAATCTTAAATAAATCAGAACAAATCTGAACATTCACCAGCAGCCAGCATCAGAGTTGGACTGCTGGACAAAATTTTATTTTAAGGCCAGAAAATGACAGCTCACGCAGTCTTGCTTATAAAACAGACGGTGGCGAGTGTACAGTGATTTATGTTCAAATGCTGGGCCCAGCACCTTCTAGCTGTGAGATGGTAACCAAGTCACTAACCTCTCTGAGAGCCACTTTTCCCCTCTAACCAGTGGAGCTACTGGTTCCCAGCTTTTAGAGCTATGGTAGAAGTAAATAAGAGCAAGTAGAAGGCGGCATACAATAAAGTGGAAGTAGTTGAAAAATAAATATTCAAATAAGAAAAGAATGGATGGAGAGAGGAAAAGGGGGAAAAAAAGATGCATGGATGAATGAACCTGTCTGTGTTAAGTCTAAGGTGTGAGAATAGGAGGCTCTCCACCCAGAATCAAAGTGCTGGAAAATTCTAGAAAATATAAGTAGTGAGAAGAAACCTGTGTGAGATTTTAAATGGGAGGTGTCTAAACAACCCTCCACATTAGAATGGCTGCCTCCCTCAAAAGCCAGAGGTCTGAAGGTGTGGACAGTACTTCATCAGGGTTACTAGGTACACAGGATCCCTTGGCGGACCCAGCTGTGGCTCAGGCTAACGTACCTCTACATAGACGGAGAAGTCCTGGAGCACTGCCACTAAAGGCTAAGTCACCAGGTGCTTATCTCACAGACCCACCAAAAGTTGGTTCTGACTCATGGCAACCCCATGTGTTGCAAAGTAGAACTGCACCCCATAGGGTTTTCCTAACTGACCATTCAGAAGCAGGCCTTTCTTCCACACGTAGGTTTGAACCACCAATCTTTCAGTCAGTAGGTGAGGCTTATTCAGTTGTACTACCCAGGGACTTCTAAGGAAGCCACCAAACCCAAACTGAAACCTACTATCTAGTTAAGTCCGACCCTGCGGAACAGAGTGGAACTGCCGCACAGTGTTTCCAAGGCTGTAATCTTTATGAAAGCAGATTGCCACAGTTGTCTTTCAAGGAGCAGCTGGTGGCTTCAGAACTGCCAACCTTCCCGTTAGCAGCTGAGCACTTAACCACTGCACCACCTGGGCTGCTTTCAGGGACCCACTGAGCCTCCACAACCTCGCAAGGCTGGTTTCATTGACTTCAGAGCAATCTGGAAAACAAGTCCCAGGTGTAGGGGAGAAGTCCATCAGGACCCCTGAAAAGAGCTCCCTGGGGAGGGGCCAGCTGGCAGCCCAGTTGTTCCCCCACAGCTTGACACTGACACCGGGCTGCAGCAGATCACTTCCGTCTCTTACCTCATGGGCACAGCCGTAGGCCACCCACTCCTGGCGGTAGCGGTCAAAGCCACTGGAGCATCTGTAAAAGGACCAAAAGGTCAGCGATGTGATGGGATGTGACAGCGAAGTCCTCCCCCCTTTATTTCACTGAACTCAGACACATGCCAAGGAAACAGCTTCCCAATCCCCAAGGGTACTGACCATGAACCCTTGGTACCAGACAGCTAGGAAACCTTGAGTCAGATCCCCTGTTCCCTCCATCCATCCATTCCTGAGATCTTTTTGTATTCCCACCTTCTCTATCCCAACTCCTGAGGGTGAAGGTGGGGGTGGCAGGTGAATGGCATGGTCTCGAATGACTTTTAAGGTCCCTTTAATTCTGTGACACCACGACATTGCTGAGAATCCAGGGACTCCAAGGAATTCATACATATGTTTACATCTGGAGAAGACTTACTCATTCACTCCCTCCCCGCTCCCCTGCTTGCTGAAACTGTAAGCTTGGGGTGGGACTGGCAGAGAGGGTGAGACTGGGCTTCAGGTGGGCACCATCAGATTTAGTCAACATGTTTCTGGGATCATTAAAGGACAGAAATAAGGCTCCTTGCCAGAGGCAAGAGGGATTAAAAACTGGCTGACAAGGGCCCCAGGAGAGGACTTTGTTGGGTTCAGCTGGGCTGGAAGACATCAAGCACTTCCTAGGGAAGGCAGATGAACCAGAGAATGCTCTCCATGGCATCAGGCTCAAATTTCCATTCTTTACTCTTTGATGCCAGGGGAATCCACAGAGTCCTACTTGAGCTCAGTGACATCTGCAAGAGAAGAATAACATCACGAGCCAACAATGCTGAGAAAACCCACGTGGCACATTAGCTCCTGCACCAGCAACTGTCTGCTTCTCTGTGAGAGGCCTGGTGGAGGTAAAGCTGAGGCTTTCCAACCTTTTCTTCTGAAGATGTCTCCTTGGCCCTGAGCTGCTGCTTCTGCAGCGGGAGGCTAAGCCGAGTCTTCCACACTCTCCCTCTCCATCAAACCCTCTGTGCCTACTACTTTGGGGGTGGTAGATCAGAGGAGCTATTAGGGCTGAAGAACTAAATTGTCTTTCAGGGATGGACTGAGCCTTCAGTGTAGGTCAAAGCTCAGAACCAACCAACAGAGACTCAAAGGGGAAAGACATGAGAAATGCCTTTCATTGAGGGCCTCCCGCGTGCTGTGTGTCTCCCCAGTCACGGGCTTCTGCACCACTTCATGGGATCCTCACCATGACACTGGAAGGCAAGGATCATGACTCCCATTTCCTGAGCTAAATCCCAGAATTCAGGTTGCCCTTGAACCCCACTGTGGACCCCTGAGGAAAACCTATGAGGAAGGAAAACACCTTCCATGGGAAGTAAAATTGTTTGAAACGATCTGACCCCAGACCAGGAAGGGGGAGCCTGGGAGGTTGTGGAGAGCAGAGTGAGTGGAGGGGATGGGGAATGCAGAGGCTCCACACATGACTGGAAGCAGCTTTGGGGAGGAGACACCAAGGCATATGACCCCACAGTCCTGCCCTCTGGCTTATGAGGAGCCTGCTGGGGTCAACTCGCAGTTGCAACTTAGGCTGTAGAGCTGGAAGGAGGGGCTCGTGAGGTGAGGCTAATGGGGGCAGGAGTGTGATGGTTTCAGCATCCTTTCAGCCTTGCACTGACTCAGATGGAGCTCCTATCCTTTGCTGACAAGCACAGTAAAGGCAGATCCACAGCCAGAGGCCCTGCCCTTCCCCAGCATAGACCCGGGGCTTATGCCATGGGGTCTGGCTCTGCTGCCCTTGGTTAGTCCCTGGGTTTAGGCAGCTATCTTTAAGTGGAGATTGTGTCAGCTGGAGGATTTGTTTCCATCTGACCCATTTTGAGGTTGTCCTGGCTCAGCTCTTGTTGGCTGCTGAGTCACTCAAAGTCACCTGGTTTCTTTCTCAGGTGCTCACCGTTCCTTGGACCACTCTTAAACATTCTGCTCCATGAAGAATCAAAATACCCTGTGCATTTGCTCTGAGGCTCCACAGCTTTCATGCAAAAGGTTCTGAATGTTTTGCAAAAATGCTGCTTGGTAGTTGAGGAGTTAAAATACTGGTGTCCTCCTCACCCACCTTTCCCTGAACCACAGCACTTCAGCCCATTTGACAGGGGAAACAAACTGAGGCCCCAGAGAGTGAATAAAAGCCCGGCTGGTGAGAAGAACACTGGGGGGTTCTGACTTGAGTCTCCCCAACCCTTCCCTCTCCAGCCCAGCACTGTGTCCTTGTGCTAGGCAGGCAGCCTGGAGAAGCGAGAGCTTCTATTTCTGCACCAGGAGATTGGAGAGGGGCAAAGCAAACACTGCCAGATGTACAGCAGCTGCATGCAAACTCAGAGACTACAAATTAATTCTGTAATTTGCAAGACTGCCTAGGAGGCTTTTGGAGTTCATAGGGCTTCCCACTCTCATGAGAGCTCTGGTCCCCAAAACAAGTCTTTTATTCCCCCCGACTCCCTGTCATTTATTTATCTTGGCCGGGAGAACACAACTTGAAAGCTGAGTCTAATCTGTAAGGAAGTGATTTCAGACCAAGGAGTGGAAGATGAATTGGATGAGTGGAAGAACGTTACCCCTGAACTTGAATCTCTCCCAGAATTTTCTCTGTTCTTCAAACCAAGCAAACACAGCTTGGTAACTTTCCCCAACCTTCCATGGACGCCTGCAATTTCCACCCCCATGGTTTTCAGGAAACCCAGTTGCTGTCTGAGAACAATCTTAAGGCAGTGGTTTGGAGTCATGGGACTCTTTGGCTCATAGCCTGTCTCTAAGACTACGAGCCTCATGCTTGTTTCCAGATCATGCGCTATGTTAACACACAGGTTCCTGGGATCCTCTCCATGAGATTCTGATGGAGAGTCATCTGGAATGGGACCCAGGAATCTGCATGTTTAGCATGAGATTCTGGGATACCCACAGTTGTGGGCCACTCTTTAAGAAGCCATGCCTGGTGCAGGGAAATGAAGAGAGTTTCCCAGAAGCCTGGTGTTGCCATAGGTCACAGCTTGTCATACAAATACGTTGACTGGTCTATGCCTCAGGGAGAAGTACTTTGGTGACGGTCTTGTTCTAAGGGTCATGGTGGCACTGGCCAGAGATGCCCTCATGTGGGCAGACTGCTGGCAATGGGGCCAGCCAAGAGGCTGAGGCAGGGAGCGAGACTGTGCCCCTCTTCCACAGTCCGCCTGTGGGAACCAGAGAGCAAGCTGGGCACTAACCTCTGGAGGACGTGGCACCAGCTGCAGTTGAAGGTCAGGTCGGAGGACATGCAGGCGCCACAGTTCTGATGCTGCAAGCAGGCTACAAGAGAGAAGGCAATGGATCCTCAATGCAGGTCCTCTTCCACAGCCTCACAGGTGCAAAGGACACAGTTTTCCTAAATGCTGGATGCCCACCAAGTCTATGACTTAGCAGGGGCCTTAGAGGATATTAATGCACTTCTACTGTCCCTCCTCTATCCCTTCCTCTTTCTTCCCTCCTATCCATTCATCCATCCATCCATCCATCCTGGTGTTGGGAAATCAACAATAAGACTTGATCCCTAACTTCTTGAAGCTAATAATCAATCATGTGGAGAGACAGACCCTAAATTGAAAAGAACTACATAATTATAATTGTGATGAGGCTTATAGCTTGTGCAATGGGATTCCATCTCATCTGGGAATTACCCAGTAGCCTGAAGCCCTGTCAGCTGGGAGCACTTACTCCCACTCCTGATGTTTCAGAACGGAGGTCCATGGGGAGGGGCTGCCGTCCCACTCCTCGTCTCTCCCCACCTCCACATGCCCTCCTCCTCCCAAGATGTCCATGGTGCTTAGTCTGTGGGAGTAAAACAGCCCAACACAGTCCCATTCCTTTCTACTCTTGGAAGTGAGCTTTGCTCTCTGCTCTCCCACATCTAAGTCTTACTTGGGGAAGTTCCTTGACTTCTCTGTGCCTCAGTTACTTCACTTGTAAAACAGGGATAGAGTCACTATCGGCTATATATCTGTCTGTCTATCTGTCTACCTATCTAACCATGCTGTGAGGGTAAAATATGACTTAGAGAACATAATAGCCCTGGGCACATGGTTGTTGTTAAGTGCCGTGGAGTCGGTTCCAACTCATAGCGACCTTGTACAGGGTTTCCGAGGCTGTACATCTTTACAGGAGCAGAAAGCCTCATCTTTCTCCTGTGGAACAGCTGGTAGTTTCAAACTGCTGACCCTGAGGTTCGCAGCCCGATTCGTAACTACTATGCTACCAGAGCTCATAGGTGCCCAATAAATGTTATTTGTTATCATTGATTACTGTTGTATTCCCACCACTCATCTGCCCCTGTGTGTTGTGTATTGCTGGAAGCTATGCCACGGGTATTTTAAATACCAGCAAGGTAACCCACGGTGGGCAGGTTTCAGCTGAGCTTCCAGACGAAGACAGAATCGGAAGAAGGAGAGACAGACTACTTCGGAATATTCAGTCACTGAAAACCATATGAAAACAGTGGAACACCGTCAGCACCAGATTATTGAATATTTATTTAAACATGACCAAGAGCACCAGAATATACAGTCAGATACAGTGCCAGAAAATAACCCCCTCAGGTTGGAAGGCACTCAAAATGTGACTGAGGAAGAGCTGCTTCCTCAAAGTAGAGTTCACCATGATGACACGAATGGAGTAAATCCCTTGGTAACTTCATTTACTAATAGGGCACAAGTCAAATGGAAGAGGAACATCCATAAACATCCTTTAATAATCAAAACATGTAATGTATGAAGTATGAATCTGGGAAAATCGGAAATTGTCAAAAATTAAATGGAACATGTTGTTGTTGTTGTCAGGTGCCATCAAGTCGGAACCGACTCATAACGACCCCATGCACAGCAGAACGAAACAACGTCCGATCCTGGGCCAACCTCACTACCGCTGCCACACTTGA